AGCCACTATGGAAAACAGTATGGAGGTTCCTCAAAAAATTAGAAATGGAGCTGCCTTTTGACCCAGTGATTCCACTCCTAGGAATGTATCCTAAGAATCCGGAAACATTAATATGAAAGAATATATGCACCCCTATGTTCATAGCAGCACAGTTTACAATAGCTAAGATGTGGAAACAGCCCAAGTGCCCATCAATAGATGAGTGGATAAAAAGGCTGTGGGACATTTACACCACGGAATACTACGCAGCTGTAAAGTAGAATCTTGTACCCTTTGGGACAGTCTGGATGGACCTGGAGAATATTATGTTAAGTGAAATAAGCCAGGCAGTGAAAGACAAACATCACATGATCTCGCTTATACATGGAATCTAAAGAACTTAATAAACTGATGAACAGAATAGACTCAATGACATGGAAGCATAGATGAGACTGACAAATGTCAGAAGGATGGAGAAGGGTGGGTGGGTGGAGGGAGAGAGAGTAAGCAAATAATTTATATGCATATATGCACAACCCGAGGACATGGACAATGGTGGGGAGAGTGACTAGGGAGGGGGATGGGACGGGGTGGAACAGGTCATTGGGGAGAAAAGGGAACATCTGTAATATTTTTAAGAAAAATAAAATTAAAAAAAAAAAAAGAAGAAATGGATTTGAAAATTAAGGTTCTATCACAGTCTGATTTTGCAAGTTACATCTTTGGTCTAAAGTAAATATAGTCAGTTCTATATATCTGTGTAGTAAAAGGAAATCACAGTTCTATAACAGAAAATAATTGCATACCAAACTTGGATTTACATATAAATAAACCTCATTCCGGTGGCCCTAAAATCATTATATAAAATAGTAAAAATGTCCTTTCAAAGATTCTACTATCCAATTTTCCTTTCCTGTCCCCAATCAACAACTGTGTATCTCACTCCATGCTCAGAATGAACATCATTACCTTCTCAGACTCAAGCAAATAATGAGAGTGATAACAAAGTTCTCTTAAAACTTGCTGATTGTATCTAGGGTGAAGAATCATCCCAAATGGTTATAAATTTGCAGGCACAGACACTTGAAAGCTGCTCTACAAGGCTGATTTGTGAGGTGAAGTATCTGAGCAAGTAAATACACTTGGGCAGAAGAAAAGGTGAGTAGGGGGAAGAAACAACTCAGGGTTGTTGGTGTGGAGTTGAGACATATCTGATGGGGAGATAGGTAAGCACATATGGTAAGTTGAATGAAATGGCAATAAGGGATGAGCTAATAGCAAAGGTACCAGTTTGCAGATAGAAATTTGAGACTTAAATAGGTAGGAGGTGGGTAATGTAAGAGTCACCAAAAAGCCTGCCAATTCATATTTTGATGGCTCAACATGATTGAAATAATCAGTTCTTTGTTCAGAATTTTATGGGGGAAATTATGTGTTATGTTTTCTGCAAATATGGTAACTTATAAAGTTCTCAAGACACACCCTTCACAACTCTCATAGATTGACCAGTTAGTATAGTATACAGTACAAACTCAGTTAAGTGTTGGCTGTGTGAATATATAAAGACCTTGTACATCTTTGTTTAGGAATATTACTTTAAAGTTAAAAGGGATTGACTTTTCATTTATGCCAGGTTTGAAGAAAGATTCATTTCAGCCCTAAGCAAACTTTAAATTAAAAACAAACAAGACTTCCTTAAAATGGAGTCTGATTTAAATAGTATATTTAAGTAGCAACTGTCCCCTAACCACCCAGCTCACCATAGACATAAGGCAATGGGTAACCAGTTTTCTTCAACCTACTACCTGATTAGCTCCTAACTGGCAGAAACAAATTTAGGATAGGTCTAAAGAAACTCTTTTAATCAGCTTTAGGAGAGGGTCACCTTCAACACAGATCAAAAATTAACTTTTAGAGAAAAAAACTCTATCAATCACAATATATTGGGTCAATTTAAACACTATGATCAATAATAAAAATTCTTCAATCTTACTAGACTCTGCTCCACCCGCTCCAGGGAATATTAATCCAAATCCGAAAGTTATACCACCAAACGTTGCAGCCGAAATTGTTGGGGTGCGAACTGCAGAGAAGGACATAATATTAAAAAAAAGTAAGAAATTTATATAGTATGTTTTATCTGAAGAAACCTTTAGAAACTTTTGGCTAAACTTCAAAAAACTATGGTCAATACATTTATATGAAATGTCCAGAAAAGGCAAATCTATGGAGACAGAAAATAGATTAGTTGTTGCCTGGGGATGAGTGATCTTATTGGGGTGATTGAAATGTTCTAAAACTGGATTATAGTGAGAATTACACAATTCGATAAACATTAAAAACACTGAACTGTACACTTAAAATAAGTTAATTTTATAATATGTAGTTATACTTCATTAAAATTAAGTTTCAAAAATACAGTGGTCAAGATTTCATTTTGTAGGCAAGGGCACCAAAGATAGAAAGGAAAAAAAGTCTGCTAAAGGTAAGAGGAAAAGTCTTTCATTGAAAATGGAATTCATTCAATAATTTTAACTCCAAACCTCAGACATGGTCATAGTCAAAAAATCTATTGTTGTTGAGAAGGATATTGCTTACATATATCAAAAGCTTTCCAGAATCTCAGTCATGTCTCAAAATTGGAAGTCTACTTGGTAGAATATACAACTAAAATGGTAACCAGCAATTTTAACTAATGTTTACCTATGCCAGTTGCACAAGAGGATGGAGATGGTAGGCCTCTATTTTTCATGCTGGACTAGGCATCAGCAATTCCTGGCAAGTTTTATTGCTGGAAATGGTGACAATCTTGCTATAACAGGGCTTTGGGGCAAGCATATTATAGCTAGGACTACAATAACAAAAACTAATGATGAATATCATGGCCCTGGGAAGATGCCTCAAAAGTACAGTCAGCTTATAGACCTGTAAAAAAGAATTGCCTAACACATATATGAAATTCAATATTCTCAACATTTTTTTATTACTCTACTAATGGAGGATGTGTAGCAAATAAGTTGGGGTTACAAGATAATTAATGTACCACTTCTCAGCTCAAAGAATCCAACTGTTCCCTTCAAAGGGAGAGGCCATACGGTATCACACAGTGTTGATTAAAACCCAAAACTACAGTTGGCCCTTTTGTCATGTAACACTTCTGATAGGTAAAATGTAAAGACCATAAACCTGGTCTATATAGAATACACTATAGCAAAGCTCCAACATTTATTTCCTTACATTATTTTACTCACATGGATAATAAGGCTTCTTCCCTTTAGACATACTTGGCAAAACTCCTACTCTTCCTATTCACATTAGCTTCAAGAAGTTATTTCTAAACATTACGATATTAATGAATTATATGCCTAAAATTATCACTTTAAGTTGTAATGATCACGTTAATGTAAAATTCACAGCTAAAGCCATGATAATTTGTTTTTTTAACAAAGCTACTGTTGATATGAACAGTTATAGATGGGTTCAAATATAATGATAATTTATGAGATACAGGAGATCCATAGCTTATAGTGGAAAATTGAGTTAAGTGGCCTGATGCAAAATAATAGTATTTTCTTTGGAACCAGCAACTTACATGAGAACCAAGTAGCAGCAGAAGTAGAAAAATTTGATATTGATGTAAACAGCATGGTGCTTGAACTAGTAGTGGTGGCAACAGTAGATGCTGGAGTCAAACCTAAAAATCAAAGTAAAAAGCATAAAAATATATCACACTGAAAACTGCAAGACACTGTTGAAAGAAATTGAAGAAGACACAAAGAAATGAAAAGATATTATGTGTTTATGGATTGGAAGAATTAACATTGTTAAAATGTCCATATTTCCAAGAGCAATCTATAGATTCAGTGCAATCCTTATCAAAATCCCAATGGCATTTTTCACAGAAATAGAACAAAAATTCTTAAATTTGTATGGAACCACAAAAGACCCAAAAATAGCCAAAGCAATCCTGAGCGAAAAGAACAAAACCAGAAGTATCACACTCCCCAGTATGGTATTGGCAGAAAAACAGACACACAGACCAATGGAACAGAATTGCTACACATAAATAAGCAATTAATTTATGACAAAAGAGCCATGAATATGCAATGGAGAAAGGAAAGTCTCTTTAATAAGTGGTGTTGGGAAAACTGGACAGCCAGATGCAAAAGAATGAAACCAGACCAACAGCTTAGACCATACATAAAAAATAATTTTTAAAACACAATTATAACAAGGTTCTTTTACATGCAGAAATAAAAACAAAGCAAGGAAAACTGGCTACTCCAAAATTTAATAAATATGACAGAGTAAAAGCCTGATTTAAAAAATAGTTCATCAGTAATGTTTAGTATAGCCAGCCTTCTAGCACCATTGTAACAAAGAAATTCTACTTTACTAAAAAAGTAAATATAAGAGGGGGATCCACTTCCAGAATTGCGACATAAGAATTCCTGGGGACCCACTGCCCAGTGAAACAACCACAACTTGTAAAAAATATATTTTAAAAAACATTTGAAATCTCTGAAAATTGTCCTAAAGGTATACAGCAAATAAAGAAACATTTATTCAAGAAAATCTACTAAAACTCAGTAATACCAGTGAGAGTTTATGCAGTAATACCTGTGAGAGTCTATGGCATATGAACCACAACCCACTTTCTTCTTCCCTCCATCCCCCCGCTCACCTTGATGAGCAACACTTGCTCCCCTGCTCCCCTAAAGCTATACTTCAAGCAGGAGTAGCCAAGAAGACTGGACTCCCTTTTTCCCCAGCTCCCAAACAAGGAATACAGTATTTCATTGGGAGGGGCAAGCAGTCAGCATTTTTCATCACCTCCAACACAGTTACAGGGCTGAAATTCCTTGTGAATACAGCCAAGAGTTGAGGAACTCCTTTCCTCAAGTCAGCCCCCACTCAAATGGCAGGGGCTCTGAACCAGGCACAGCAGTCTGAGAATATTTGGGTGTCATCATCCTTATCCTGATTATCTTGCTCCAGCTCACTTATAGAGCTGAGATTCCATGCCTGAAGAGATAAGCAAGAAGACCAGAGGCAACTGTCACTGCCCCATGCCCAAAGCACTGATTCAATGATTTTGCCCAGGGATACATTCAGTCCATAAGAATGGAGTTGTCCCCAAAAGAACTGACCTTATTAAAAACAGGGTGTGAGGAATTTTAAGCCAAAAGAGTCTAGCTTGAAAAAAATGGAGATTTTGGTGATAAGCAAGGAAGAGTGGGCAAGTAGCTTCATGAGAGCAACAATTTAGGTTGTAGACCAGATAGTTTACCAAAGATAACCAGGGAAAGAGAAAGTTGAAGAGACCTCCTCCTGAGATTAGAAGACTTAAGTACTCATACATCCTATACCATGGATGAATCTTGAAAGTATTGTGCTAAATGAAAGAAGTCAGACACAAAAGGTCACATTTTGTATGATTCCACTTATATGAAATGTTCAGAAGAGGCAAACCCATAGACAGAGAGTATATTAGTGGTTGCAAGGAGCTGGGAATAGGGGATAATGAAGAGTGACTGCTAATGAATACAGGGTTTCTTTTTAGGGAGGTGAAAATGTTCTGGAATTACATAGTGGTGATGATTTCATGCTCTGTGAATATATTAAAAAACAATGAATTATTCCCCCATTTAAACTTTAAAGGGGTGATTTTTTAAGATATGTAAATGATACCTCAATTATTCTGTTATTTAAAAACACACAGATCATTCCAAAGAAAGCAGAAAAATACATTTGAGAAAATTAAACACCCTTTCATGATGAAAATACTCAACAAATTAGGAAGAGAAGGAAAATTCTCAAAATGATGAAGGGCATTTACAAAAAACGCACGGCTAGCATCATACTTTTTATCTTTATTGTTGAGAGTATTATAGATGTCCTCCCACTTTTTCCCCTTGTCCCCCACTCCCCTAGATCCCACCCTGCCCCAGGCCTTCACTACCCTATTGTCTGTGTCGATAGGCAAAGCATTTATGCATATAAGTTCTTTGGTTAATCTCTTCCAGCCCCTCCCTCCCCCTTTCCCTCTGAGATTTGCCAGTCTGTTCCATGTTTCCATGCCTCTGGTCCTATTTTATTCATCATTTTATTGTGTTCATTAGATTCTACATATAAGTGAGATCATGTGATACTTGTGTTTCTCTGACTGGCTTATTTCACTTTGAATAATCATCTCCAGGTCCCTCCATGCTGTCTCAAAGGGTAGTAGATCCTTCTTTTTTACAACTGCATAATATTCCATTGTGTAACTGTGCCACAGGTTTTTTTTATCTATTCGTCTACTGATGGATATTTAATTCTTTTTGAGCAATTATAAATGGAATGGTATTTTTAAAATATATCTTTATTGATTTCAGAGAGAGGAAAGGAGGGAGAGTGAGAGAGATAGAAACATCAATGATGAGAGAGTCATTGATCAAGCCCACAACTGGGCATGTGCCCTGACCGGGAATTGAACCCTGATTGCCTGGATCCTAGGTCAACACTCAACTGCTGAGCCACGCCTGGCTGGGCATGGAATGGTATTTTAATGTTATTGATCTTGTATCTGGCAACTGTGCTGAACTTGTTTATTCTAATAGAGTTTTTATGGATTCCTTAGAATTTTCTGTATTTGTGATCATGTCTGTGAATAGAAATAGTTTTATTCCTTTTCAATCTGGTTGCCATTTATTTTGTTTTCTTGCCTAACTGTCCTGGCTAGAAACTTCCAACATATTGTTGACATGAAATAATAAGAGTTTCCAACATATATATATATATATTTTAATATGGAATGATTTGCACATTGAGTGTCATCCTTACACAGGGGCCATGCTAATCTTCTCTGTATCGTTCCAATTTTAGTATATGTGCGGCTGGAGTGAGCACCCAACATATTGTTGAAATGAAGTAGTAAGAGCCAGGACAATTAGGCAAGAAAACAAGGTATAGAGTAGTGGTTAGAGTATACTATTTTTTATGTAAAAAGTAAAGGTAGAAGGCTAAGAATATATATTTTTATTTGCTAGCAAATCCATGAAGGAACTCTGTAAGGATACATACAATTACAGTGGTTAGCTGAATAGTGAAGGTGAGGGAGAGGTGTAATAGTACAGGGTAGATGGGAGACAGTATGGCTTTTTATACTACTGATAGTCTTATTTTTATACCATTTTAATGACTATATTATATATTTTAAAATTATGTATAAATAAATGATCCTCTCCCCAACCTGATATTTACATTTTCATGTTCACCTATGCTTTTTAAATGTTTATGGTTTCATTTTCTACCTTTAATTCTCCTAGTATTTCTTTTGGTTAACCTTTTTTTGGCAAAAATTAATCCCCTTGCCCCAAAGTCAACTGGATGGACAGTTATTGCAATTCATTTATTCATCACTCCATCCTCTCTCCAAACAGATTTGAAATGTTATCTTCATAAACTCAGGTTTGTTTCTGTACTTTAAAATTTTTCACTGACTTTTTTTCTATCCCTGTTTCATAAGAGTTTCAATTATTGTGTCACTAGTATTCATTTATTTTTATATTATATGATATTTTAAACTTACAGGAAGAGAATAAACTTATAATACATTTTCATATATTTTCTACAAGCACTCCATCATTACTTTCTTTAAAAAACAAGAAATGAGTAGTCTCATGCATTTATTCCCCCATTTAAACTTTAGAATTTTGTCAAGTCCCTCCCTCCTTTCCTTCCCCCAAAAATTCCCAGTGTGGTTTTATAAGAATTACATTAAATGTGCAGATTAAATTGGAAATAAATGAAATTCATATACTATTGACTCAGTGCATTCAGTGGGTCTCTTCACCTATTCATGTCTTCTTTATATATTCCTCAGTAAAATTTTAAGGTTATTTTCATATTGGTCATGCACATTTTTAAAGTTCATTCCTAGGTACTACATACTTTCAGTTGAAATTGTTAATAGGATCTTTCTCCATTATATTTCCAAATTACTGTTGCATAAACATGGGGAAGCTATTGATTTTTGTATTATTTGTTTTGTAACTGGCCATATTACTGAAACCTCTTCACTGGTGTTAATTAAATTTGCACTTGATTTATGCCCATATTTTTAAAATCTTGATAATTTGTCTCATGTACTGGCATAATTTCAGAGGCCTTACCTTAAATAACAAAGGTAACCAAGGAAGCAAATACCATTTAATATGATTTAAGTTAAAGGAGTCTTACCCTTCAGTAAGAAAGTGTTTAAAAGACAGTCTCATTTTTCTAATCATATGACTAGAGCAGGGTTTTTCAACATGGCACTACTAACATTTTGAGCCAAATAATTCTTTGTTGTGGAGGACTATCCCATGCAGGGGTATAATAAGAAAGATATATTTGGTGTTTGTTCCCTTTCCTGGACATAGATCCTAAAACTCTTGTAATTTCCCAAGTGATAGGGAGTGATAGGGAACATCTTTTGTTATAATATTTGCTCTTCCTGACACATGAGCTTCTAACATCCTTGGAATCTCTGGATTTATAAGGGATTCCAAGAATCCTATTGAAACCAGACAACAAATGGGTCAGAGATGCCTCTCACTGCTTGAGCCAGTTAAGCAGAGATGGGGTTGAATTATATATGAGTGTTTATTCTAATAATGCTGGAGAGCAGCAGGTCTTCTACAAAATCTGCTCTTCCCCATAAGCCAGCTG